GAGCCCCTAGTAGCGTCCTTGCTCCTAGTAGCCATGCCCTTGGTTTCTAGCAGCGTCCTTGTTCCTAGTCGTAAGGCCAGGAGCCCCTAGTAGCGTCCGTGCTCCTAGTAGCGATGCCCTTTGTTACTAGCAGCGTCCTTGTTCCTAGTAGTAAGGCCAGGAGCCCTAGTAGCGTCCTTGCTCCTAGTAGCGATGCCCTTTGTTACTAGCAGCGTCCTTGTTCCTAGTAGTATGGCCAGGAGCCCCTAGTAGCGTCCTTGCTCCTAGTAGCCATGCCCTTTGTTTCTAGCAGCGTCCTTGTTCCTAGTACTAAGGCCAGGAGCCCCTAGTAGCGTCCGTGCTCCTAGTAGCGATGCCCTTTGTTACTAGCAGCGTCCTTGTTCCTAGTAGTAAGGCCAGGAGCCCTAGTAGCGTGCTTGCTCCTAGTAGCGATGCCCTTCGTTACTAGCAGCGTCCTTGTTCCTAGTAGTATGGCCAGGAGCTACTAGTAGCTTCCTTGCTCCTAGTAGCGATGCCCTTTGTTACTAGCAGCGTCCTTGCTCCTAGTAGAGATGCCCTTTGTTACTAGCAGCGTCCTTGTTCCTAGTAGTAAGGCCAGGAGCCCCTAGTAGCATCCTTGCTGCTAGTAGCGATGCCCTTTGTTACTAGCAGCGTCCTTGTTCCTAGTAGTATTGCCAGGAGCTACTAGTAGTGTCCTTGCTCCCAGTAGCGATGCCCTTTGTTCCTAGTAGCTTCCTTGCTCCCAGTAGTAAAGCGTCCTTGCTCCTAGTAGCAAGGCCCTTTGTTACTAGCAGCGTCCTTGTTCCTAGTAGCATGGCCAGGAGCCTCTAGTAGCATCCTTGCTCCTAGTAGCGCTGCCCTTTGTTCCCAGTAGCTTCTTGCTCCTAGTAGTATGGCCAGGTGCCCCTAGCGATGCCTTTTGTTACTAGCAGCGTCGTTGTTCCTAGTAGTATGGCCAGGAGCCCCTAGTAGCGTCCTTGCTCCTAGTAGCGCTGCCGTTTGTTCCTAGTAGCTTCCTTGCTGCTAGTAGTATGGCCGGGAGCCCCTAGTAGCGTCCGTGCTCCTAGTAGCGATGCCCTTTGTTACTAGCAGCGTCCTTGTTCCTAGTAGTAAGGCCAGGAGCCCGTAGTAGCGTCCTTGCTGCTAGTAGCGATGCCCTTTGTTACTAGCAGCGTCGTTG